GTTCCTGGTTAGACGTGACCTTAGCTGTTTGCTATGCCTGCATCGGCTAAATAGCCGATCGCCTGTGCGTTAATGCCTACGGTGTGCGTCCATGATTCTGTTAAGCATGAATAGATCTGTGTACTTTAAGGGCTTGATTCGTTGTCTTTTTTACGGCTGCATCGATCCGGTCGAACCCCACTGTTAGAGATAGCAGGTTGAGTCTGAGAAGTCCATAAGTTTGTTCACGTGAAATAGTCGATTGTTCACACGCTGTAGTCGTCTTCACCTGAATCGTCTATTTTAGCCGATTCATCTGAGCCTTCACATATAGCATGTCTTTCGGAGAACCTGTCGAAATATGGATGTTTTTGCGGATTCTTCGGTTTTAGTTTATTACTATCATCGTAGCTGCCATCGATCCGGTCGAACCTCACTGTTGGTGGTAACAGATTGGATTCAGAGCGTCTGTAGATCCATTTGTATTAGATAGTCGATTTGTTCGCGTGTTATATCTTTTTCTCGTTAGATTCATCGGCTCAATGATTCATACTGATAATATCCACCTAGCTGATGATCTCATTTACATAAACGTGTACTGTACCTGTTAACATAAAATTGATTGCTACCTACGAGCTTTACAGTCCGTAACAGCCGATTTCTGTGTGGATCGGCTATTCAGTCGCTCTTCCTATCTGACTGCTTCCGAAGTGGCACACTTGGAACTGTCTAGGCACAGACCAACACGTTCCACCTTAAATTACTGATAAACTTTCTCTCCTTGTCAATTGTAGGGTCAAATTGATTGGCACATCTTAGGAGAAATACGCAGGATCGATCATCCATGCGTTGAAGCCAGGTGGATCTCCAGCTCCATCGAGCAGATCCTTCCCGCTTGGTCGTTTGCCCGGCACATTTTCGTGCCCACAAGGCCTTCATTTAGTGAGATGATTGCAATGGCTCGGGAGGAGCTACATTGCCCTAGAGATGATGATGATGGCATTGCAGTTGAGGGTGTACTGCACCTAGGTTCTTCTCCCAACATCCTCAGGCGAATGATCCTAATTGGGTGTGCAGATCAGTGGGAGAACTATGTGAGATCGGCTATGAAGAGCCAGCTGCAATGTTTGGACGTGGTTGTGCGTTGGGTGTTAGTTGATCCCATCCCTCATGGGTTTTTCCCACCAATGGGTCAACAGGCACACTTCGACCCTCTCGTCCCGAAACCTGATATGGATGTGGAGGTTGCACCTACGGTTCCTGATGCTCAATCTGCCTCCAATGAGCTAGTTGGAGATGCTTGTCAAACTCATGATGCTGTGGCATATCCTCCTCATGAGATCCCTTTGACACAGAATCATCTGAGTAAGTGTCTTATCTGCATGATTATTGGGAGCTTACCCCATTCCTTACATCTAATTTTTCATTCTTTCCTTATTTTTCTACTTATGTTGCAGTAGACATTTCTGACAATGTGGATGTGCCCACTGTTGCTGCGCAAGTGCTTTGTGGAGATGGATTCTGTGGCTCCAGTAGTGTTGAAATTATGAATGATTCGGAGCCATATGAGATGGCAAGGGCTCTTGATTCTGATGATGATCGTCCTTTTGGAGAGCTGACAGAGAGTGATGTTGAGATGCTGAGGCGTATCTTTCTCGGACGCCGTGATCCAAGAGTTCACGAGTTCAGCGATCTTGTTTATTCCGATCAGGCGTGTGCAGAATGACGTGATGATGAGCTCCTAGAAGCTCCCGAGGCCGGCCCTAACATGGTAATTGAGAATGGGAGGGTATTCAATGACCTCCCTGCATTGAAGAGGTGGTTGCAGGCGTTTGCAGTGATACGAAAGAGACCTTACAAGGTCTTGCATTCACGGCACCATAGATCTTGGCGCCATTCTCGGCGCCAATAACCACGGCGCCAAGCTCGGCGCCAATAACCACGGCTCCAAGCTCGACGCCAAGATCTACGGCGCCAAGCTCGGCGCCAGGATCTACGGCGCCAAACTGCCTGCCAATTCATCGCCACGTCTGCGTCGAGCCCAAGACCTAGGCGCCAAAATCTATGGCGCCGAGACGTGTAAGCTCGGCGCCACCAACGATGGTGCCGAGGTAAGGGTCTAGATTTTGAAATCATAACTCCAGAGGCATATTTGTGAAATTTTCTCAAAAAAAGGGCTAAAAAATAAAAAAATTGGGTTTCTGATCCCTAAAGACACCCGCCGGAAAATGAAGTCGGTGATCTCTAATTATTGGTGGGGCAGCTCGGTGGATAATAGACATCTCCATTGGCAACGTTGGGAGCTCTTGACGAGATCCAAGGTGCAGGGGGGCATGGGATTTCGAGACCTCAGGCTATTCAACCTAGCCATGTTGGGAAAGCAAGGATGGAGATTATTAGAAAATCTGGATTCATTGTGTGCGAAAGTCCTTAAAGGCAGATATTTCCATGACACTGACTTCCTGTCTGCAACTAGAAAAAAGCATGCTAGTCATACTTGGCGTGCGATTCTGGAAGGAAGAGAGGTGTTGAAGAAAGGTTTGCTGCAAAGGATTGGTGATGGCAGAACAACAGATATTTGGCATGATCGATGGCTACCAGGACATTTTGGGGGGCAGCTGATCGTTGTGCCGGATGAGCCACAGGTCCACACAATGTCTGACCTGTTGATGCCAAGTGGAGGTTGGAATGTGAATCTTATCAGACAGACTTTTGCCAATGTTGATGCTTATGCCATCCTGAGTACGCCGATCAGAGGCGCTGGGGAGGATTCCTGGGCCTGGGAACCGGAACGACACGGTGTATACACTGTCCGGTCAGCGTATCGATTGCTATATGATAATCAGTTTCAGGCTCTGAATGATGGCAGGGCGTCAGTGTCTGAGAACAAGGTTTGGAAACGAATTTGGGGTCTATATGTTCTACCAAAGGTGCGAGTGTTTTGGTGGCGAGTAGTGAATGGTTTCCTACCGTCCAGAGGAGAGCTACATCGGAGACATATTGAACCAATTCCAAATTGTGAGACTTGTGGAGCAGATGAGGAGTCCATTAAACATGTGTGTACGGACTGTACTGTCGCTAAGAGTTTCTGGGTTGAAGTGAAGAAGCTAACAGGGGCTAAATTACCAGAGCTGCACCCTATTACCTGGGCACATGATTTGGTGAATCCAGAATTGTGCCCTCCAAAGGATGCAGCCATCTTTCGGCTACTGGAGGGCCGACAGGTCCAGTTCGGTGATGTGCTGGCCTACGAGCGCGCCAGCTTCAATGTCGTCGGCGAGGTGGCCCCAGTTTCGCAGCAGGAAGGAGACCACGCGGACGAGGCCGTACCCGAACGCAGGCAGCTCGATCGATCATCATGCAAATAAAATAAAATAAATCGATTGGGTGCAAAATTAAGCAACTCATGATGATGAAGTGTTACTGGTTCATGACTGCCATGACGAGGCTGTGGAGTAGCATGCGGCAGTCGACCTCATCCTTCACGGCCGGGATCAGCTTGGGCTCGCCGTCTGACGTGCCGGAGCTGACGTTGAACTCGAAAATAGGGTGCACGGAGCCTGACAGGATGGGCGACCTGTCGCCGCTAGCGATGCGCAGGATGTACGGCTTCAAGTCGTCGTACGTCGCCATGGGCACCTTGGCACGGAAAGTGGCTCGGTCGGAAGCGCCGGCGTCGGCGAGGCCACATTTCTCAAGGTACTTGGCGTCGCCGTTGCGGGCGAGGATGTCCGCCAGCCCCCGCTCCTGAACAGCATCCACGTTAGTGGTCATCTCCTCGATGGACTCGAGCATCACCTCTGCCACCATGTCCTCCGTCGCCGGCGAGTAGGCTGGGCTCTGGGGTGCGGCGCCGTGTTCTTCGGCACGTCGTCAGTCATATCCGCCATATATATATATATATAGTTGATAGGACTACGTGCCAGCCGACACCAGCCAAAACAATGGATATGTGCCCTGTCGGTAACTGGAGGGCCGACAGGTCCAATTCGGTGATGTGCTGGCCTACGAGCGCGCCAGCTTGGATGTCGTCGGCGAGGTGGCCCCAGTTGCGCTGCAGGAAGGAGACCACGCGGACGAGGCCATACCCGAACGCAGGCAGCTCGATCGATCATCATGCAAATAAAATAAAATAAATCGATCAGGGGCAAAATTAAACAACTCATGATGATGAAGTGTTACTGGTTCATGACTACCATGACGAGGCTGTGGAGTAGCATGCGGCGGTCGACCTCATCCTTCACGGCCGGGATCAGCTTGGGCTCGCTGTCCGACGTGCCGGAGCTGACGTTGAACTCGGAAATGGGGTGCACGGAGCCTGACAGGATGGGCGACCTGTCGCCGTTGGCGATGCGCAGGATGTACGGCCTCAAGTTGTCGTACGTCACCATGGGCACCTTGACACGGAAAGTGGCTCGGTCGGAAGCGCCGGCGCCGGTGAGGCCACATTTCCCAAGGTACTCGGCGTCGCCGTTGCGGGTGAGGATGTCCGCCAGCCCCCGCTCCTGAACGACGTCCACGTTAGTGCTCATCTCCTCGATGGACTCGAGCATCATCTCTGCCGCCATGTCCTCCGTCGTCGGCGAGTAGGCTGGGCTCTGTGGTGCGGCACCGTGTTCTTCGGCACGTCGTCAGTCATATCCACCATATATGCTTCCAGACACAAACTATGGACACTAGCTAGATGCCTAGATGTGAAGGTTAGCTTTATACTCCTCTATATATATATATATATATATATATATAATAGTTGATAGGACTACGTGGCAGCTGACAACACCCAAAACAATGGATATCTGCCCCGTCGGTGACTGGAGGGCGACAGGCCCAGTTCGTTGATGTGCTGGCCTACTAGCGCGCCAGCTTCGATGTTGTCGGCGAGGTGGCCCCAGTTGCGCTACAGGAAGGAGACCGCGCGGACGAGGCCGTACCCGAACGTAGGCAGCTCGATCGATCATCATGCAAATAAAATAAAATAAATCGATCGGGTGCAAAATTAAGCAACTCATGATGATGAAGTGTTACTGGTTCATGACTGCCATGACGAGGCTGTGGAGTAGCAGGCAGTCGACCTCATCCTTCACGGCCGGGATCAGCTTGGGCTCGCCGTCCGACGTGCCAGAGCTGACATTGAACTCGGAAATGGGGTGCACGGAGCCTGACAGGATGTGCGACCTGTCGCCGTTGGCGATGCGCAGGATGTACGGCTTCAAGTCATCGTACGTCGCCATGGGCACCTTGGCACGGAAAGTGGCTCGGTCGGAAGCCCTGGCGCCTGCGAGGCCACATTTCGCAAGGTACTCGGTGTCGCCGTTGCGGGCGAGGATGTCCGCCAGCCCCCACTCCTGAACGGCGTCCACGTTAGTGCTCATCTCCTCGATGGACTCGAGCATCATCTCTGCCGCCATGTCCTCCGTCGCCGGCGAGTAGGCTAGGCTCTAGGGTGCGGCGCCGTGTTCTGCGTCACGTCGTCAGTCATATCCACCATATATATATACTTTGAAACACAAACTGTGGACAGTAGCTAGACTTTTTTTTTTTGCGAATGACACTAGCTAGACTTGAGCGTTAGCTAGATGCCTAGGTGTGAAGGTTAGCTTTATACTCCTATATATATATATATATATATATATATATATATATATATATATATATATATATATATATATATATATATATATATATATATATACCAGTTGCCGCATTCTTTTGGCTGGTGTCGGCGAGCAGGCTGGGCTCTGGGATGCGGCGCCGTGTTCTACGGCACGTCGTCAGTGTATATATATATATACACTAGCTAGACTTTTTTTTGCGAATGACACTAGCTAGACTTGAGCGTTACCTAGATGCCTAAATGTGAAGGTTAGTTTTATACTCCTATATATATATGTATATATATAGTTGTTGATAGGACTACGTGGCAGCCGACACCAGCCAAAACAATGGATATGTGCCCTGTCGGCATCTGGACGGAAGACAGGTCCAGTTCGTTGATATGCTGGCCCACGAGCACGCCAGCTTCAATGTCGTCGACGAGGTGGCCCCAGTTGCGCTGCAGGAAGGAGACCGCGCGGACGAGGCCGTACCCGAACGCAGGCAGCTCGATCGATCATCATGCAAATAAAATAAACTAAATCGATCGGGTGCAAAATTAAGCAACTCATGATGATGAAGTGTTACTGGATCATGACTGCCATGACGAGGCTGTGGAGTAGCATGCGGCAGTCGACCTCATCCTTCACGGCCGGGATCAGCTTGGGCTCGCCGTCCGACGTGCCGGAGCTGACGTTGAACTCGGAAATGGGGTGCACGGAGCCTGACAGGATGGGCGACCTGTCGCCGTTGGCGATGCGCAGGATGTACGGCTTCAAGTCGTCGTACGTCGCCATGGGCACCTTGGCACGGAAAGTGGCTCGGTCGGAAGCGCCGACGCCGGCGAGGCCACATTTCGCAAGGTACTCGGCGTCGCCATTGCGGGCGAGGATGTCCGCCAGCCCCCGCTCCTGAATGGCGTCCACGTTAGTGGTCATCTACTCGATGGACTCGAGCATCATCTCTGCCGCCATGTCCTCCATCGCCGGCGAGTAGGCTGGGCTCTGGGGTGCGGCGCCGTGTTCTTTGGCACGTCGTCAGTCATATCCACCATATATATATATATATATATATATATGCTTCCAGACACAAACTGTGGACACTAGACTTGAGTGTTAGCTAGATGCTAGATGTGAAGGTTAGCTTTATACTCCTGCGTGTGTATATTTATATATATATAGTAGTGGATAGAACTATGTGGCAACCCACACCAGCCAAAACAGTAGATATGTGCCCTGTCGGCAAGTGGACGGCCGACAGGTCTACTTTGTTGATGTGCTGGCTTGCGAGCGCGCCAGCTTCGATGTCGTCGGCGAGGTGGCCCCAGTTGCGCTGCAGGAAGGAGACCCGTGCGGACGAGGCCGCACCCGAGCATGAGGCAGCTCGATCGATCATCATGCAAATAAAATAAAATAAATCGATCGGGTGAAAAGTTAAGCAACTCATGATGATGAAGTGTTACTGGTTCGTGACTGCGCCATGACGAGGCCATGGAGTAGCATGCGGCAGTCGACCTCATCCTGACGGCCGAGATCAGCTTGGGCTCGCCGTCCGGCGTGCCAAGCTGACGTTGAACTCGGAAATGGGGTGCACGGGGCCTGACAGGATGGGCGACCTGCCGCCGTTGGCGATGCGCAGGTTGTACTGCTTCAAGTCGTCGTACGTCGCCATGGGCACCTTGGGACGGAAAGTGGCTCGGTCGGAATCGCCGGCGCCGGCGAGGCCACATTTCGCAAGGTACTCGGCGTCGCCGTTGCGGGCGAGGATGTCCGCCAGCCCCCGCTCCTGAATGGCGTCCACGTTAGTGGTCATCTACTCGATGGACTCGAGCATCATCTCCGCCGCCATGTCCTCCATCGCCGGCGAGTAGGCTGGGCTCTGGGGTGCGGCGCCGTGTTCTTTGGCACGTCGTCAGTCATATCCACCATATATATATATATATATATATATATATATATATATATGCTTCCAGACACAAACTGTGGACACTAGACTTGAGTGTTAGCTAGATGCTAGATGTGAAGGTTAGCTTTATACTCCTGCGTGTGTATATTATATATATATAGTAGTGGATAGAACTATGTGGCAACCCACACCAGCCAAAACAGTAGATATGTGCCCTGTCGGCAAGTGGACGGCCGACAGGTCTACTTTTGTTGATGTGCTGGCTTATGAAGCGCCAGCTTACGATGTAGTCGGCGAGGTGGCCCCAGTTGCGCTGCAGGAAGGAGACCGTGCGGACGAGGCCGCCAGAAGCGCAGAGCAGCTCGATCGATCATCATGCAAATAAAATAAAATAAATCGATCGGGTGAAAAGTTAAGCAACTCATGATGATGAAGTGTTACTGGTTCGTGACTGCCATGGCGAGGCCATGGAGTAGCATGCGGCGATCGACCTCATCCTTGACGGCCGAGATCAGCTTGGGCTCGCCCGCCCGGCGTGCCGGAGCTGACGTTGAACTCGGAAATGGGGTGCACGGGCCTGACAGGATGGGCGACCTGTCGCCGTTAGCGATCGCAGGTTGTACTGCTTCAAGTCGTCGACGTCGCCATGGGCACCTTTGGGACGGAAAGTGGCTCGGTCGGAAGCGCCAGCGCCGGCGAGGCCACATTTCGCAAGGTACTCGGCGTCGCCATTGCGGGCGAGGATGTCCGCCAGCCCACGCTGAATGGCGTCCACGTTAGTGGTCATCTACTCGATGGACTCGAGCATCATCTCTGCCGCCATGTCCTCCATCGCCGGCGAGTAGGCTGGGCTCTGGGGTGCGGCGCCGTGTTCTTTGGCACGTCGTCAGTCATATCCACCATATATATATATATATATATATATGCTTCCAGACACAAACTGTGGACACTAGACTTGAGTGTTAGCTAGATGCTAGATGTGAAGGTTAGCTTTATACTCCTGCGTGTGTATATTTATATATATATAGTAGTGGATAGAACTATGTGGCAACCCACACCAGCCAAAACAGTAGATATGTGCCCTGTCGGTAAGTGGACGGCCGACAGGTCTACTTTGTTGATGTGCTGGCTTGCGAGCGCGCCAGCTTCGATGTCGTCGGCGAGGTGGCCCCAGTTGCGCGCTGCAGGAAGGAGACCCGCGGACGAGGCCGCCATTGCAAGCATGAGCAGCTCGATCGATCATCATGCAAATAAAATAAAATAAATCGATCGGGTGAAAAGTTAAGCAACTCATGATGATGAAGTGTTACAGGTTCGTGACTGCCATGACGAGGCCATGGAGTAGCATGCGGCAGTCGACCCCATCCTTGACGGCCGAGATCAGCTTGGGCTCGCCGTCTGACGTGCCGCAGCTGACGTTGAACTCGGAAATGGGGTGCACGGGGCCTGACAGGATGGGCGACCTGTCGCCGTTGGCGATGCGCAGGTTGTACCGCTTCAAGTCGTAAAGACGTCGCCATGGGCACCTTGGGACGGAAAGTGGCTCGGTCGGAAGCGCCAGCGCCGGCGAGGCCACATTTCGCAAGGTACTCGGCGTCGCCATTGCGGGCGAGGATGTCCGCCAGCCCCCGCTCCTGAATGGCGTCCACGTTAGTGGTCATCTACTCGATGGACTCGAGCATCATCTCTGCCGCCATGTCCTCCATCGCCGGCGAGTAGGCTGGGCTCTGGGGTGCGGCGCCGTGTTCTTTGGCATGTCGTCAGTCATATCCACCATATATATATATATATATATATATATATATATATATATATATATATATATGCTTCCAGACACAAACTGTGGACACTAGACTTGAGTGTTAGCTAGATGCTAGATGTGAAGGTTAGCTTTATACTCCTGCGTGTGTATATTTATATATATACAGTAGTGGATAGAACTATGTGGCAACCCACACCAGCCAAAACAGTAGATATGTGCCCTGTCGGCAAGTGGACGGCCGACAGGTCTACTTTGTTGATGTGCTGGCTTGCGAAAGCCGCCACCTTCGATGTCGTCGGCGAGGTGGCCCCGATGCGCTGCTGAAGGAAGAGACCGTGCGCGGACGAGGCCGCACCTGAAGCGCAGAGCAGCTCGATCGATCATCATGCAAATAAAATAAAATAAATCGATCGGGTGAAAAGTTAAGCAACTCATGATGATGAAGTGTTACTGGTTCGTGGATCGCCATGACGAGGCCATGGAGTAGCATGCGGCGATCGACCTCATCTTGACGGCCGAGATCAGCTTGGGCTCGCCGTCTGACGCGCCGGAGCTGACGTTGAACTCGGAAATGGGGTGCACGGGCCTGACAGGATGGGCGACCTGCCGCCGTTAGCGTCGCGCAGGTTGTACTTGCTTCAAGTCGTCGACGTCGCCATGGGCACCTTGGGACGGAAAGTGGTTTTCGTCGGAATCGCCGGCGCCCGGCGAGGCCACACATTTCGCAAAAGGTACTCGGCGTCGCCGTTATGGGCGAGGATGTCCGCCACCCCGCTCCTGAATGGCGTCCACGTTAGTGGTCATCTACTCGATGGACTCGAGCATCATCTCCGCCGCCATGTCCTCCATCGCCGGCGAGTAGGCTGGGCTCTGGGGTGCGGCGCCGTGTTCTTTGGCACGTCGTCAGTCATATCCACCATATATATATATATATATATATATATGCTTCCAGACACAAACTGTGGACACTAGACTTGAGTGTTAGCTAGATGCTAGATGTGAAGGTTAGCTTTATACTCCTGCGTGTGTATATATATATATATATAGTAGTGGATAGAACTATGTGGCAACCCACACCAGCCAAAACAGTAGATATGTGCCCTGTCGGCAAGTGGACGGCCGACAGGTCTACTTTGTTGATGTGCTGGC